ACCCAGTATTTGTGTTCACAATCTTATCATCCCTTACCACACTCAACCTTCTCAGATGGCTGGTGGATGGTAGGAAGATGGGATAACTAGCAGGAAGAACATATTTGCGTTTCCAGTCAACTCCCATCTCTGTTTTGAAAATCTAATCGATTCCCAGGGGAGAACATCAAGGAGGCTTGACAGAAAAACATTGTCATCTCAATGAAAGGGGTTGCTACTGTTACAATCTCAGTGGAAATCTGGCTAGATCTAATTACTGAAAAAGTCATTGTTGGCCACACAAAGAAGGTGGGAAAGCGGTGCAGAGTAGTTGTGGAAAGTTTTGCCCGCTTAGCTGATGAGTGGCTCCAATACAGCAGTGAGGGCCCTGGAAAGGAATCTGTTGCCAACATCACGTCACCACAGATCTGCTCCTTCTTGTCTCAGATGTAAGATCCAAGAGCTGGATTCTGTCCTGAATGTCTCCCAGGAAAGGGGATTCATCACACTTCATGGCTTGCCAGTCACGGGAGCTTGCAGAAGGAGACCTGGATTCCTCATGGGTCAACTTTGAGGGGGATCAGCAAAGAGTGTTTCTAAGCTGTTGCTTGCTATGCTGAACTTTTTGTGATGGCAAAGAAGAGCAGACAATGTTTTAAGTTCCTCTGATGCTTGTTTTATCTTTAGGAAAAAAAAACTGAATCAGCTCTGCTCTATCTGGAGGGACTTGTGCAGCTGTGCAGTTGCTGGTGTCTGATGTGACCTCTCAGCTGGGAGCAGGCCCTGCTTTTAGAAAAGGAAGGAGAGAGAAAGCAAAATAAAAACATTGGACTTTAAGGAAACAAAGTCCAGCAAGCTCAGTAGCCTGATGTGTGAGATCCTATAAGAAATGTCTCACAGAGCTGGCAAAGATTGAGTGCTGGTAAAAATTATATAAAAGAAAGATGTCAGGGCCCAAATCTAACCTATACCAATGCAGAGGAAGAGCAGGAAGGAATGATCCTGGCTATATCAGTGCTTTCAGACACAAAAAAGGAACCGCAAACAGGAGATGAGGCAAACTGATTAACAACAAATATTAAAAAACAGCACAAGCATGTAGGCATGCATTGAAAAGAACAAGACCCAATCAAGATGTAACTCACAAGGGTCTTAAAGGCCGAAAAGAAAACGAGGAAAGGCTGAAAAGCAAACGATCAATGCCTTCCTGCAAGGAGAAGTAGTCACAGAAAACAGAAAATAGAGTCACCCTTCACTAAAAAGTCAATTTTGATGAAGCCCTTAATGCAACTGGCAAAACACTCATTGGAGAAAGTGCACAAATCCTGATAAGAGTGGATTAAAGCATACTTAAATCCAGTATGCTGGATTCCACGGGAATGCACAGGTCCTCTGGCCTGAGAGCAGAACACTGGGGTCCAGCCCATCCGCCTCACACCTCCAGACCCTAACTTCAGTCAAAAGCCTCTGCCAACAGGGTGGGATGTCCCCAAAGCAGACGAGGATGCACAAGGGGCAGGAGAGTCCACATCCACTTCACCTGCAGTGGGCTCTAAACTGTCCATGCTGTCAGTATATAGGGGGGGTAGGGTGATAACTGGAGACACTAAACAGTTTTCCCATCCTCTAAGAGGTATGCTGGACAAAGTGATATTTATTAAGGAATAATAATGTGCCTTGTGGCAGCAGTGGCATAGAAGAGTTCCCAGTCCTGTGAAAACAGAAGGTTTTACATGAGACCAGCTCCCTGTTCTAGCTCACAGTGCTAGAGTGTGTGTTTTGCACAGCTGGAAGTGGAGGAATGTAATAGCACCTGTGTAAGAGTGAAGGCTGTGGGCACAGGAGGGAGACTTCTTCTGCTGATGTTGCTGTGCTGGAAATGCTAGCTGACGAGAGGACTTTTTGGTCCCATGCTTGACACATCCAGAAAATGGAAGAGAAAGTAACTTTAAGACCTAGATTGAGATGCTGATGCCCACACACCACCTGATCCTCTTTGGCTCCTTTGCTGGGGAAAAGGCGAATGTGTACATCTTATGCTTGTGTGCATGAAGTCTTTTGATAGAGCTTACAGGTTGCTCTGGAGCAGAGGCCATACCCCAGGTGAGCATGTACTCTCCCCAGTCCAACCCTACGTACAAGCAAAACCCTAAGTCACTGCCTATCCCTCTGATACACTAGAGGAGTGAGGAGAACTGAAAATCCCACTTCAGTCAAAGCTGAAAGGATCATTTTCAAGAGCACCCTTTGGTTTCCTCCTGCGGCTGGAAGCAGCCTTCCTTTGTCAGCTGTACAGTTTGTTACTGCCTGTACTTGTGCGCCTGTGAAGCAGTCTGCCCCAAGTTGGATTTTTTTGGTTACTTTCTGATTTTCCAACACTACTAAATACCTTTTCCTGATACAGGCTCTTTGCAGGACATCTTGATGCAAAATGGTCTTCATGAAAATTCCTGTGGACAGCAACCTTCTGGACAACCTCTTGGTGCGTTTCCACAGCAGCAGTCCCAGTGCTGAAAATGGGCTGCTGGGGACGGCTCCATGCACCCATCCCAACTCGTGCCACCGGGGGACCTCAGGGCCTGCTGAGGACCTGCTCCTGCAGATTTATTCTCCTGCCGGAGGCTACAGGTCTGTCCTGCAGCCAGGGCCAAGGCTTGGCCCCTCTGCACCATCTGGCTGGCCCCGATAAAAGCATCATGGCTTGAGGCCTCCATCTTGTGGCAGCAAGGACAAATGTCTGCACTGAAACTCATCCCCGCTGCTTGGGGCTCAGCCTTTCCTTGGTTTGCCACAGCCAGGGAAGTGTCTGAGCTGTGCACTTTCCAGATGGCAGCTAGGAAAGCACGCCGGCCCTGGGGCCCAGCCAGGGCGCTGCCACTTGTGTCACACTGCCTCCTCCGAAGCACAGCGGTATCCTGCCTAAGGACAAAACAAGGCAAGAGAGCACTTGGACGCGAAGCCTGGCAGAGGCAGCCTGGGCAGCTGCCAAGTCACTGCCCCTCCATGTACATACCGTCCCCCTACATTACTCCTTATGCGTTGCCTCCCATGCCCACACAGGCCCTTCTGTACGTGCATGCACATACGCACACGCACGCAGTTTTTCCCTTCATACCTACTGCCCATCGCTTGCATGCACACTGCTTCTCACATGCATTCAAGCACATACATGGCTGTGCACTTGCACTGCGTGCACACACACACACACACACTGCCTGTCCAGGCTGATGCACATCCCTTTCTCTGCACGTATACTCACCCACATGCTGGCTCTCACATACCCCATGGCTTTGCTGTACCCAGGCCTGCGCGGGTCCTGTGCAGCCAGGTCTGGAGCAGCTCAAGTCTGTGTTGGATTGATGGTGGCTCATACTGCTACTTTTTGCACTCATCCATGCTGCCCCGCACACCTATTTCCCCTATTTCCCATCATATGCCTGCTCCTCCACATGCTCCCCAGGCAACAGAGGCTCTTTGCCGAGCAGAGTTATGCCTGCAACTATCACGAAATAATGTTGGCTGGAAGGGACCGCTGGCGTCCAGCCTGCTCCAGCCCTCTGCTCCAAGCAGGCTCAGCCTCAAAGGTAGCTCAGGTTGGTCAGTGATGCTCCAAACAGCTTTCACTTCCCCTCCTCGCTGCGCCCAGGTGCAGTAGGCTCTGCCTTGCCCCTAGTGCAGGGTCACAGTCTGTGGCTGGTGCTTTGGAGGGGGAACTGTGGCAGCTGGAGGGCCTCTCTCGCTCTGGAGTCGCTTCTGGACTCTCCTGCCTCTGGTGTTTTCTCTGATGGGGGCTGGAGGTCACAGAACTGGGGCAAGCATCCAGCCCTGCATGGGAGCCAACCCTCGTGGCACGTGTGTGCTGGGGAGCAAAGGGACCTGTGGCAACCTCAGCCCAGCTCTGTGCTGTGCTTTCACTGCATCAGCCACACCAGGGCTTTCTCGAACCTTCCTCTTGGTGCTGAGCACCTCCCAGCCCTGGCAGAGACAGAGCTCAGTTACTCAGCACCTGGCAGGTTTTAGCCCCCCGAGACTATCTGTTGCTGAGGTCTCTTACCACACCCACGGGCTGGAGGGGAGCCCATGCAACTCCTTTATCGAAAAAACCCCAGCCGCCGGCCCCGCTGCTGACTACGATAAGGGCCAAGGGCTGCACAGAGCACTCGTGCTTCGGCACCCAGCGCCACATCGCGCCCTGCTCTTGCCTTCCTGCCCTGGCGCTACCTTCCCAGCTGAGATTCATGGCCCAAAGAGCAGGATCTGGGGCTGGGCCAGGTGCAGCCGAGCGCTCCCCTTGGGGCAAACTATGCCCGCTGATGTCCCCTAGCCTGCTAGTCCCCTCTGCACGCCCACCAGACCCCCTGCCAGAGCAGTACTCTAGCAATATAGTGTTAGATGGAAACAGAGAAGAAATCCTATGTGTGCCACACAGCCCTGTTTTCTATCTGTTGTGGAAATGCACGGAAAGCTACACTTGCACTGCGAGGTCTTCAGGACTCAGCACTCACAGGAGTCCTTGCTGTGCCACCATGCAGATGGTCACAGATGCTGGGAGTCACCTGTGCCCCATGGTCTCCCATGAGCACTTGCAGGAAGACCCATCTCTCAGCATGCAATTTCGCCTAAGTGGGGACAAAGGCTGCACAGGGCTCTCCACCTCCATGGCACAAGAAAAGACCCCAGGGTTGGGATGGGTGCTCTGATGAAAAGGCCTGGGCTGGCTGGGGCTGCAGGGACTTCCCGAGGGTCAAACTCTGGTCCCTGTCTGTGAGGCTTTCCCATTTGCCAGTGTCTGAAAATGCCCTTCCGCTTGTGCCTGGAGCCACATAGCTTGCACAGAGGTGTGCACCTACTGGCCGCCACCACCACCACCCAAACAGAGCCTAGGAGCCTCTTTGCTCCATATCCCCACCTGGCACAGGGACACCAGCAGTTTGGGTACAGGCAGGCACAGAGCCCCAGAGCAGAACCCTCCCATTCCCCAATCCGTCCTTGCAAGCAGCAATCAGAGCAGGACACCAGGGTTGGAGCACAAATGCAATAGATTTTATTTCAGATCATTTGGCTGCTCGCTGTTGGAGGGCTGGCAGTGAGTTGGGGCCAGCTCCAGCCACGGTGCTGTCTAACGGTATTTGGCAGTCAGCACGGCAGACACGGCACACAGGAACTTGTCCAGGGAAGCATGGACCTCCGGGGTCAGGGCAGAGGGGTGATGGATGGCCACCACCACCAGGAAGCACTGGCCCAGCAGCTGAAAGGCAAAGGGAGATCATGAGCAAGCAAGTCAAGTGAGGGGGCAGCCAGATGGCAGAGAAATTGGGCTGGAGGAGAGCCAGGCTCGGTCATCCCTTCCCAGGCACTCACTTTGAAGTTCACAGGGTCCACGCGGAGCTTTTGGGCGTGGAGGTCGCTGAGCTTGGAGAGGGCCCCAGAGATGTCATCAATGTGGTTGACAGCCTCAATCAGGGCGTTCGCCACCTTCTTGCCATGTGCCTTGATCTGAGCAGAGCCGTGGTGCAGGTCAAAGTGGGGGAAGTAGGTCTTGGTCTGGGGGTAGGTGATGAACATCCTGCAGGGCAGAGAGGGTCAGGGCTGGTAGGATGGGACCAGCAGGGCTGATGGGGAGGGGGATAGGGACAGATGAGGCAGGAACAGAGTGGGGGGTGAGGACAGGCACAGCTAGAATATGGACAGGTGTAGACAGGCAGAGAGCATGGGGGCAGATGGGACAGAAAGAGGGACACGCAGGACAGGGACAGCCAGAGATGGGGATGGACGGGGCAGACACTCACCTCTCCAGGGTTTCAGCTCCATACTCTTCGGCATGGCTGCTGATCTTGCTGAAGATGCCCTTCACGTTGGTCTTGTCAGTCCCGGACAGCACCATGGTTGCACCTCCGCGTTGGCAGCCCCCAGCACGGGTGTCCCCGACGGCCGCCGCCGCCCTTATATGCGGTGCCGGGGCCCCG